TATTTTGTGGATAAGAGGGATTTGAGGAACAGTCCAAGGAAACGTGACCAGCTTGGTGGCATTTGTAACAAGTTAGTTTATCAGAAAGAAAAATTCGGTACGAAATGTTTTCAAAATCAATTAGGACGGAGTCGGGTACAGTAAAATTGTCTGTAGGTGCAAAGTAAACTTGTCTTCGAAAACTAAGTACATGGCTGTATTGCGGGTCTTGTATTCCAGCTCTAAGAAACGAAATCGGAGACATTAATTTAAAACCAAGATTCATTAAAGACTGTTCGATTATGTGATGGGGTATAGATGGACATACGTTGGATAAAACTAATCTATTAGCGGGTGTAATTAGTTTACGTGCTTTGATTGTATGTTCTCTAATTTTAATTTCACCATGTTGACTTAGAAAATCTTCTACGACTTGTGTGCTTGAAAGGTAGATGCATATTCTTCCGTTTGACATTTTGGATGAGAACAATACATTTTTTGGATGGACTATAGTTTCCTACTGCAATGGTGTACTCTTCTGTTCTTATTTCATCTACTGCCGGTAAAATTATGGCCTGGTTTTTTGTTGGGAATTTTGTTAATGGTTGTTGCTTAGTGATAGTAGAATAAGTAATGTTTTGCTGATCGGGATTAATTGATGGACCCCTTTAGTCAGAGGTACCACCTGCCATTTTGTCAAATTTAATTTTCTATCTTTATTTTAAATTTAAATTGAACTTTCATTTCAATAATTTTAATTTGGGTAGGTCCGACTCTGTTTATTTAAAAGTAAATAGTCGATCTAGCAATTAGCAAGATAATGCCAAGAGTTGAAACTAGTTTTTTAAATAATTAATAAATACGAAATATAAATAATGTTCTTCGTATGTATATAAAAACAATGTTTGTAATCAAACTACTGCAAATTTGGAAACTGTACTTACAGCTATAAATAGACCACTGTACACTGCTTCTATATATTTCGTTTTATTATTTAAATTTACACTGTTTCTTATCAAAAACTATAAAAGTTTTGGAGCTCAAAATATTTCGACTTGTCTACCTGAACTTTCAGGACCGGATGAGTATAATACTTCCTTATACTAAATTTCATTTTTAACTTGCCGCTACACGCGTATGCTATTGTAACGTATTTGCACGCATATCAGCGTTACCCTCACCTACATCAATTTCACTTAGTTCGAGGAATAATGAATGTCAGCATCTATAAAATTACAATCGTTTATACTCTTATATAATAGAAAGTTTTATTAACCTAAATATTTTTAGCAATTTAACACTATAAAGTGATATAATATTGTAAACAAAAAGTTTTAAAGGTACTTTACGTAAAGATAATGAATGCATCTACACACATTCTTCTTTCTCTATTTCCCAACAGGAATTAGACAAAAAGTTTATGTTCCTTAAAAATCGTGTTTCACAATTTTTAGTATTTTGTCTTTAGTTTTTAGTACTTTATCATGAGTTTTTTAGTTAAAAGGACGACATTGAAGTAGCAGCGAAATATGAAATAGAAACAGAAATTTGTGTTCTCCAAAATGATTGATTTGAAGATGAATGCAAGAATGCAACAAAAGAAAAAAATTACGCCTACAGAAAGATGTTTGCCTGACGAACTAGACAACTGTAGGAAATTGATAGACAAAAAAAAAGAAAAGAAAAGACGATACACAAAAGAAAAAACGAAACCACTTAAGGAACTTAAATATATCGAAAACCTCAACAGAGAGAAAGAATTCAGAGCATTCTATAAGGGAGCTAACATGAGATTTCGTCTTAAAGACTAAACAGATGAGGTAATGGGAACAGTCTAGAGGGCAGATAGAGAAGGAGAAGTTAATAATGCAGTTAAAAATTTAGCTAGGAACATATCACCCAGAATGAATAATCTGCCAGCTTAACTATATAAAGAAGGTGGCCACGATACCATAATGGTATTATAGCAGCTTACAATAGAATTATGGACACAGAAATCCCTCCCCAATGATTTTAATGCTCTAACCACAAAGGAATAACGCTTCTAAATGCAGCGTATAAAATATTTTCCACAGTACTATGTTACCGTATGGCACCATATGCAGAACAAATATTAGTAGGAAAATACCAAACTGGTTTCAGATGTGGAAAATCAACTAATAATCAAATTCTTACCTTGAAACAGTCTAGTACAACTAGACGAAAATACAAATCCCATCCCCATTTAGAGAGGAGTGAGAGAAGGAGACGTAATATCGCCAAAGCTTTTCAACCTAGGCCTAGAAGACGTCTTCAAAACTACCAATTGGTCAACCTATGGCATTAACGTTAATGGCAATAAGTTAAACCACCTCAGATTCGCTGACGACATAGTGATTACAGCGAGCACATTCGAAGAACTACAAATTCTGTTGGGGCAACTAGCAGCCAGCTCCCAATCTGTCGGCCTAAAAATGAATATGAAATGAACAAAAATAATGACAAACACAGATGACCCCAGACATATAACTATAAACGGCAGTGAGATAGAACAAATCCAGGAATATATCTACCTAGGCCAAATCCTGAGACTTGACAAAGAGAACCAAAGTGCGGAAATTACTAGAAGAGCAAGACTAGTATGGGCAGGATTTGGAAACCTTAGTTGGATACTTAAGAACCGCAAAATACCCCAATACTAGGGGTTCAACCAGGAGCAAAGTGTTCAACCAATGCGTCGTTCCTATCATGACATATGGATGTCAAACCTGGACCCTAAAATAGCCACAACAGAAAGAACAATGGAAAGAGCAATGTCAGGTATACGACTGTCAGAAAAAAGAGGAACGACTGGGTAAGATCCAAAACAAAAGTCGAGGACATAACAACAAAAATTGCCAAACTTAAATCAAGCTTCGCGGGCCACACTGCTAGACAGAAAGACCAACGTTGGAATACTACAATACAACATTGGAGACCTTACGAAAGTAAACAACCAAGAGGAAGACCACAGATGAGATGGGCTGATGACATTAAAGGAATAGCCGGAACAAATTGGAAATATGTTCCTCAGGATAGAGACTGATGGAAGGAGTTGGGAGAGGCCTATGTCCTAACATGGACGACAGAAGGCTAAGAAGAAGAAAAAGAAACCTTGAAACAAATTTTAGAAAAAAACACTGGATATGGCATTGATACTCATCACATATTTATAGACTACAAAACCGCCTACCACTCTGCAAATAGAAGAGAAATGTTCAAAGCAACGAAAGACCTAGAAATACCATAGAGCGCCCTCTTTCCTGTATACTGTTCAATCTGGCTCTGGACAAAGAAACACGTATGTCACAAATCACAACCATTGGTTCAATATATAATAAATCAATGCAAATCCTTGCCTATGCTAATGATATATTATTAATTAAAATAATACTACCGCAGAGAAAACCGCAGAATTGGCACGGCCAATAGATGTTATTTTGCTTATGCTTTTTTCCACAATTATTTCAACAATATTGGCAATATCATTTTAAAGTCGTCTACTTTAAAATGCATAATGTATGTCTGAATTGTCAATTTAAATGAGTCAGATAAAATTAAATTATTATAATTTTTCACTATGTAACAAAAAACAAAATTTGTTTAATTTACTGTTTGTATTTTGAGAACGATTTCCGAAGTGGAAATTGAAACGTCAATAAACGTATTTTTATCTTTAATTGTGGCTTATTCCCAGTTTAATAGTAATTAATTCACAATTATTTCGATAAATACAAAAATAAAACTATACAAACCAATAACATGCCCAGTCCTAACATATGGTTCAAAGACCTGGACTCAAAAAGTAATGAAAAATGTTAAAATGTTTCGAAAGAAAAGTACTGGCGTATCTATAGTATCTATAGGAGCAGTAAATGCCAATGGAGTGTGGAGAAGGTGATACAACTTCAAACTTTATAGAATATACCCGTAACCTGGTATCGTAAAACATATCAAGATAGGACGTCTGAGTTGGGGAATCTATGGATCACTCTTAAACCACAAAAATCTGCAGCAACTTGCCTTAAGGGACTAATCCTCTTTGAGTTTGGCAATTGCTTTTGATTCTTGCACGTCATTCAAATGCATTTTAGGCATTTTGGACGCGTTTATTAGCTTTTTTTCTTATTTTTTAGTACGTGCGAAATTTTTGACAAGCACTTTGACATTTAGCAAATACAGTACTACAATGCAAAAATGAAGGTGTAAACTATTGAGTGGCTGCAGCTGTACATGCTAACTTTGTATAAAATTATGGATCATCTTTAAATGACTTTGTTTATAAGATTTATTAAATTTCTAAAAATAAGTATCTTGCATGTGTTAAAGAATTTATCAAAAGGACCTAAACTTGTTTTATACTACCCTATTTTTTCTTTATCCTATATTTTTTTAATTTGTAGTTTGAAAAGAACAGAAAATTGTAAATAAGTTAGATTGAGTACTTCTTGTATGGAAGTAACTAAACTTCAAACATTGTTTTTATGCTGTTTTTTTTTAATATCACAAAAGACAAACAACCACAAAATGGTGTTTTATATAAAATAAACCTTTTTGAGCTAGATCACAGAACGTTTGCAGAAAGGCTTCTCCATCATCAGTGCTGTTGCTAGGTATACATTATTACAACAATTACATTGTTGTTGATAATATTATTAAGTTTAAAATTTATAACGGATTTTTTAATTAAAATTTTTGTAATTTATGGTATACAACCGACTACCGGAAATTAATTTTCCTTGTGAATTTTTTACGTTTTAGGAACGTTTATTGCATATGCTGCTCCAATTATTATTATTTTTTGATAGTTCGAGATTAAATGATAGCAAACAAATAATCATACCTGTTTTATTTTATATTTTTTTAGCAATAGTAAGAATAATTCAAACGAGAAATATTATCGTTTTTTCTCCTAGCAAAAGATCAGAGTTCTACGTTATAAGCTTTAGAAAGTATTATGTTCTTAAGAGTTTCTCGTCTACCTCTTTAATTTGTTTCAGCGGACACGGGACAACGAAACGTCGATGCAACAACTCTCCACTGAGCGAGAAGAGCGAGAGAGAGAAAGATGGAGTTTGCTACGTCACGCCAGAGACGAGGCAGAAAGAAGTTTGTCATTAGCGGCACAACTTAACGCCAAAGAACTACAACTTCAACAGGCACAAGAGCAATTACAAGAAGTATGTACTTCTATTATACAAAGTGTGTTGTTTTAATTAACGGGGAAATAATGGCAGATTTGGTCGATAAAAAAATTTAACGTGGCGAACTGGTAGGAATACTTTATAAATTATTAGTGCTATGGTAAAATTTAGTGCGAACAATTTTCAAACCATACCTTAGCTTATTAATATTAACTAATAGTGGTGTCATTCGCTGACACCAGGATTTTTACGACTCAATTTAAAATATATATCCTAGCACTCCAAATTGATAATTATGACTTTCGCAGATGTTTTTATAAACCCACTAAATACTTAACAGTAGAATTATCTAAAGTATCATTTTTAATAGAAGAAACAAAAATGTCGAAGAGTAAATATTATAATTAAGTACAGAAAATTATTTGGTATTTACGAATTCTTTTTTTAATAATTTTGCAATAGGTAGTAGCTGTACTAGTCGTCAGAGACGAAATTTACTGAAATTCTATATAAATTATATAAACGGGCTGAATTTTGTTGGGAATGTCAATATTGGGACCTGAAAAATATGCAAAAAATTTGCCACTTCTACTACTTATGTCAGTTACGCACATAAAATCAATATTTTGTATATAAATTTGTAAATTTTAAATCACAATACCCTATAAATGTGAGGAGCAGCAAACGTTGCCCGATTTTTTGCCATTTTTTGCGATTCTCGTGAAATAAATAAAATTTATCACTTCCATTAAGCAGTTACGATAGAATCTTCCTTCCTAGAGTCTAATCTTGAAACCTCTAGAATGAAATTACGATTTTCAGTGTTGGCAACAAATGTGACTTATTTGAAATATGCCTAAAAAACGGTATAACAAAAAATGCTGAATTTAAACTCTTGAACTGTTTGAGCTGTTTAAAATGTTTAAAACTCGTTCTTCTTAATTGCACAAGTATGTGTTTCAAATCTACACAACTTTAACTACTAAATCTACCTAATGCCTTCTTTTTGAAAGCATTCCTTGTGGCGTGAAATTGTTTGTAATATAAATGTTTAAATTTAGAATTCTTAGGAATATTTCAAATGCATAAAATTTGTTGCCAAAATTCAAACTTAAAAGTTTTGAATATTAGGCTCTAACAATCAAAATTCCATAGCGACCTATTAATTAAAGGGATATATTTTGTAGGTCTCATAAGAATCATGAAAAATGGCAAAAAATCGCTTAACTTTTATTTATTTAACAGCTCCATTGAAAATCACTTTAAATGCGGTAAAATAAAAAAAATACGTACAAAGGCTGCACTCTTTACCTTTAAAACTTATTTTAATTTTTGTCAATAAGACATAAAATACTCTGATAAAAAATATTGGATTTTAACTTTCGAGTTGTTACAAATTTTATTTAAAATCTGAATTTGCGCCTAACTGGCATTTAAAATTACCAGTCGCTTCAAGCGTTGTTTCTAAGAAAACGTTCGACCCTACACAAAAAGTAACAATATTGTCCTAGCTACACTTTTTGTTTAAAAAATTATTTTCTACAACGTAGAAATTCATTTACCCCCTTTTATTTTGCTTAACACATTTTCTTCAGATAGCTCAATATAATGATTCCAGTTTCTAAATTTATGCCGTCCAAATATTCTTCGGAAGGCTCTCCAAAATAGGCGTTTCTTTCGTCAATTATCTCTTCGTTTCAGCTAAGGTTTTTTATTTATCAGCCATTTTGTTAGATTTAGAAACACATAATTATCGAAGGTGGCCAAATCAGGAGAATAAGGCAGATAAGAAAGTAATTTCCAACTTATGAAATTTTACCATTATCACGTTCTTATGAGCCGATACATTGTATTCTGCAATATATATATATATATATATATATATATATATATATATATATATATATATATTGTATTATAGCATGTCCTGCAATTTTTTTCTGCCTTTTGCTATAAACACAACATTATGGGCATATCTCAGGTGGTTCAGTTTTTCGCCGTTAATCGTCACTTCTTTATTTTCCAATTGTAAAATTCTAAACATATCTTATAGGGCGAGGGATATAAATAAACATATGTCTATTAATAATTCTAATAAATTTTAGGCTCGGCGACAGCTAGCCTCAAGCGGCTGTCTTTCGGACCAAGAATCTCTAGCATCACTGCCACGACACAATATTAATGGCGGGGCTTTAACTCCTGGATCGGGAGGTCTTCTTTCGGGACACCATGGGCTAGGCCAACTTCCTGGTGACAGAGGAAGTTGTAGCGCTGACTCTGGTGTACGGGTGAGTTCAGATAGAGAAAGTGGAGCAACATCTGTAGCTGGAAACTTGTCTGATTCGACAACAGATGGAACACCGACCATAACTCTTGGTGAAGGACATAAGGATATGGATTCGGTGTCGCTGATTTCATCTGTGCCTCCTCCGCACATGTACCAATGTAAGTAATTTTAAAATTACCTTACTTGAATTTTAGTTTCATTTTAAAATAAGGTAAATAATGGGCTTTATAAAATTATATCTTTCATTATAGTATTATTATTATAACCTGGTATTTTGAAGTATTCCCACGAATTTTGTAAGTCATATAGACGTTGCAAGAATTACTAATTTTTTTATGGTATTATCCACCTGCTTGTTAAAATTTAAGTGTTAAGTGGTCCTTAGAACAGGAAAATCGTCAAACTAATCCTACTTATTAGTAATATGAAAGATATCGTCTGGACACTTTTTATTCTCTACTGTCTTCATCTATATTTCAAGATATAGTCACATTAATCATTGGTTAGTTTATTAACTATTGTGAGATACAGTCTATTATGTGCTGTAGGTTGGTATGTGATCTACAATAGAGTTCAAGTATAATTTGTATTTGTTTTAGTTTAAAAAAGTTCTACTGTTAAATATACTATGTTTATTAGTATCTTTTTTGTCGATTTTAAAGATTTTTTGCTTTTTGTCGATTTTAACAGAATCATACGCATAAAAAAATATGCCAGTTAACAATCAGTAGTAAAATTGAGAACGACTTATTATTATTACTTAAAATACATAGGAGGAACGCATCGACACGAAGACACGCTGGTGTGTCAGCTTTTAAAAATGTCTTTAGAGAAAATCGTACGAGATACCAATTTAGATAGCAGGGAGGCTATATTTATTAGATCAGCCCAAATTATGGCATATACTAAAAAAGTGGATATAACAAGAACCAGGGCGAGAACTGCAGAAATATTATCCGAGCTAGTAGCAGCAGCAGAACAAATGGGATTGCATATAAATCAAAATAAAAACCATACTGCAGCAATTCATGCTGACTAATAAAAATACGAGAGATGGAAATGTTGATCTAGCTGTCAATAATTAAAACTTCGAAGCGGTTTAACAGTTCATATATCTAAAACCATCGGTTAACACAATCTTAATATATCAGGAGAAATAAAAAGGCATGCTCTAATTGCAACTAGGTTTTATTCTAATTTATCAAAGTACTTTGATAGACCATAACAAAGCTAACAAAACGTCTGTTTTAAAACGTATGGAAGAAGAAGTATGTATAGAAAATTGATCGTCCATGTTCTTACATATGGGTCAGAGGCATGAACCCTAACCAGAACAGATGAGTTTTAATTCTGGCGAAGGTATGAGGGCGCTACGATGCGCTGAACGAAATAATCTGGCTTAGAGGTAGAGGGATCGACCACTCGGCCCAACAAAAAGTAGAAAGTGACTAATCAACACTTAGTCACGGTATGGTTCGTAAATACGTTTATAATAGTTTTTCTTGTCTTATAAACAGGAGCAGAAACTTTACCATCAACAAATTAAAGATAAACTAATCGAGTTCATAAAATGGACATGAGGTACTAAAACATATCCGTGCAGAAATTTTTACAATAGTTTTTACAGCTTTGGTCTACCCCATCTTCTCATTGCCACCGGTTGCGGTGTTGTAATATTTTTTATTATGTTCGATTTCGGGGCACAAGCTACATGTCCTTCCCATTGTAGACCATTTAGCTTGATTCTAGTGGTAATATATTTTCCACCAAACTCATGCTTATAGATATTCTACAGTTTAAAGTTTATAACGATGTCAATTCCAGCTATCGCCACCGGCCTATCCGCCTCCGTACACTTGCATTTTCATTACTAAATTCCACTTCCACCTATGCGAGTGGAGTTTATCATGCACATTTGGCGTGGAAACAAAAATCATGACAGAGAAAGGATAAACATTTTTAAAAGAAAGATATTGCGATCCATCTGCGACAATGATACGTGGAGAATGGGGTTCAACCATGAGTTATATCAATATTACACAGAACCCTTTATAGCAAATTCTGTAAAAATACAAAGATTGCGTTAAGCAAGTCATCATATAAGATTGGATTATAAAAACATGTAAGATCATATAAGAACATAACACCTAAGAGATCGATTAGTGGGTATAAGGTAAGACGTCGGTCAATAGAAAAACCAAGGAAGAGATACATAGACGATGTGAAAACCTATGCTGAAGGTGACTAGGGCCGAACTTGGGATGTAACGTCATTGGATAAAGAGAGAGAAAAAGAGGGAGGGAGAGAGGAAAGACAGGATCATGTCACGTCAAAAGTTGGAATATATTCCCAAAAACATCTCCTTAACTTTGTGTTCTTTAACATCTTTTAAATCAACATTTTGCAAGCACAGTGAGAATTACTCCATACATCCATCAGCGAGAATTGCAAAAAGTATTGTTTTTTTCATCAATGATCTTTTTGGAATAATTTTACCGCAAATTATTAGTAATCTTCGCTATGCTGATAGTACAGTCATAATAGCTGATAGCCAAGAAGCGCTACAACGACTAATATATAGAAATAAACACTGAAGTAGAACCAGTGGGCTTAAAAATTAATATGAACAAGACGAATATAATGGTAGTTAGTAGAACACGAAATATGCAATTGAATATAACAGTAAACAACAATAACATCCAAAAGGTCCCCAAATTCAGATATCGCGGTAGTTGGATAACTGAAGATCTAGATCCAGACATAGAGATACGTAGCAGGATTAATTAAGCCAGAACAGCATTTACTAATATGAGAACCTTGCTAAGCAACAGCAGCCTCAACTTAATGCTTCGATATCGCTTTGTAAAATGGTTCATTTACTCCATACTGCCATATGGTGTAGAAACCTGGACCATAAAGGCCAATGTGATGAACCGATTGGAGGCCTTGAAATGTGGGTATTTAGAAGATTACTTAAAGTTCCCTGGACAGATCACAAAACAAATGTCGAAGTAATAAATCGAATGGGCAGAGAACGATAATTGCTGCCGATAATTAAAAGTAGAAAAAACTGCTTATCTGGGTCATATATTTTGAAATTCCAAGTACTAGTTCTTAAATCTTATTATGGAAGGGAAGATTAAAGGAAAACGGGGCATCGGAGAAAAGAAATACTCATGGCTTAAAAACATAAGCTTTATTACTTATGCGACAGGCTAAAACGATCCTACTTTATTCCCGTATATTCCCGTATTAGTTGCGTACAATTGTCTAACCTATTTAACTAAAATATTTTTATTTTGTGGAATATTAGACTTAAAAGAGTTATTTTATAAAATTCATATTATTATTAATAACAAATGTTTTGGTTATTTAATCAATATAATTCTAAAATTCTTAATATAATGATGATTACATTTATCTGATTATTATACCATGTTGACGTATATGAAAGATCGAGCAGTTCCGTATGGGTCTCGTATTATTAGCTGTGTTGGGAAAATCTGAACTCTAAGGTTGATGTTCTGGAAATTTTAAATACGAGTGACGTCACTTTGTATAAATTGTGACGTGCAAGAACTTTTATATGAAAAATGCTATACCCAATATTATATGACAAAGAGATAATTTATTAAAAGGAAAATTAGAAGCATAAAATATATTAAGTATTATATAATTTTAATGTGACATTTCCATTTATTTTTCAGCATCTACAAAAGACTGCAGTCCAACCTTATCTCCATTGAATGCCAACAATTTCTCTAGGTAAGTTATCTAGCAATAATTACATAAAATATATTACAAAAAATATATTCGTTATAAAATATCATGGACATGTAAACACATCTGCGTTTATACGTCCATGTATAATATGATGCAATGACTTATGTTTGCATCATCGAGTTTTTTCTTGTCAAATATATCTGAATATTGATTGTGTACTGGTCAGGATGATCAGCAAATCGGAAGACAACTCCTTTTTTGCCGCATCGTCTTTAATAATGTATGCCTCAGTTGTCGACAACTAGTTGAATAAATGATTTCATCTATAGGATTTTTTATCGCTTGTACCGTTCCCGTCATAAAAAACTGGTACAACTCTTATAATCAAAAATCGTGTTTTTTAAGTTGTGTACGTTGCTCTTGTCACATGTGTCATTCTGATTTCTAGGTCACCGTTGCCAGTTCAACGAAAATATTATATAAAACCAGCTAAAAGCAAGACTGTGTGACAGACCGCCATTTTTGAGTATACTAAAAACTAAAACATTATTGAGCATTCTCGATCAGTCAGTCACATTAAATTTGTTTAAAACCATGCATACTAAAAAATGCTCATATTAAATTTTGTAATTTTCTACCATCTCAATTAAGTAGCCATATATTGATTTGTGTTTTATAACAATTTATGAAAATACTTTAATTTAAAAATTATGACGGATAATCAATTCTAGACAAACTTCATTTTATTGGTTTTTATTTTTAATTTTGTCAATTATAAAATAAAAATGAACTGTATTTTATTTAAATTAAACAAATAATAATCTACATTCTTTTTAGTAAATTAAAACGTAATATGTTCTTCTTCCGATTCTTCTTCCATCATTATGTCTGGAATTCGATCTACATTATTTCCCGTTTTTAAACTTGATATCCAAGCATGCAGCTCTTCCGAAAAAATATTTTCTTGGCACATATTTACTAAATCCTTTTTTTTGCTTCGCTTCTTGGAAGAGTACTTTTGTATAACTTTGGTAAATTACCGGAGTTGGTAAGTCTAGGGTTGCTTTTTGGCAAAAAAAAATTGTTTTTGCCTTTTAGACCGTAGAGTAGGAGTTTTTTTTTAATTTAAAATAATATCTTCTGATATGTTTAAACACTTTAATTCTTTTGAGATTTTCGTAGTTGAAAAAAATTTTCCTTGTTTCACCTTTAATATATTTTAGTCTCTTGATTTTTAATCACTGCACAGTATTACCGTCAGAATCTACTGTTCTGTTTTGCAATATATTTTAAATCTAAAAATTTATTATATTTTATTTCTTTTACCTTGTATGGGCCAATATTATGTTTCACATTGTCTACTGTCTTCATTTTCTGTTTTCTTGCTGTTTTTATTTATATAAATTGATTGAAATATATTTTTTTAATCATTCATGCAAGCTACATTTATATGTTTACTTGCAGATTCTATTGCCGAGTGCATAGAATCCACTTCCATATACGTATGTACTGCTTCTAAGAACTTTTGTTCTATAATTTCCAATTGGTCGATATTTTGTACGATTTACAACAGCAGTAAGACTATAAATTGATTACGGTTTTGACTGCCACAAGTATTTAAAAAAAATTGTTACATGCTTAACCTCAGGTCCTAAGCATTCGCTTAAATAGTAATACATACAAGTTCCGATTTCAGAACTACCCTTCTTGCCATTGATTTCATTTCAGCACAAGCAATATGCGTTATTGGGTAGCGGTAATACCCAAATAGTAAGATTGTATACTACCAATTTTCTACGATAGTATAACTAACTAATAGATCCTTTGGGTATTTGTAAAATTGCTTGTAAATCCAATGTTACAGACATAAATGTCTTGTCTTTATTTGCTTTGTCTGTCTTTATCTATTCTTTTAGCGGCCTGACAAATTTCGTTTCTTTTTCTATTTTCTTCGTAGATTATTTCAAGATTGTTTCTCTGCTCATAGATAGACACAGATAAGACACTGGTCCTTTTTGGGCCTGAAAAAACTTAGATTATAATCTTCACAAAAAATAGATCGATATTTACGTAAAGCAACAGGGTCTCGATTATTTTCGATGCAGTTATCTAAGTAAAGCTGCTACATTTTTTTGATATTTAGAATGGGATCTGAGTATTTTCTAATGGTATCCTTTCGGGTATAATGAGATTCCATAACCGGAAAGGATTTAATATGACTTTTAACAAATTAAACATCTTCAGCCTGTGTTTTGTTAACTAGTTCCTGTTTTCCGCGATTGTCTTCTTTAGAATAGCAACCAGTAGAATCACTGTTAGCTACAGCATTTGTTATAACATCTGGGGATATACACAGCGTTTTTGTAAAAAAACTTTTGGCACACTGGAATCCGTTCGTTGTTAGCTAGTGAACTAATCAGAACTACCGACCCAAAAAGGTAAATCGTTGTACTTCGTGTAACCTAAAATTGATTTACTGGGTTTTCGCAGGACAAAAATGTGGAGAAATTTAATAAAATATAATAGTATAAAATTCTTTATTGGATTTTCGCATGAATATATTTTGTTAAAGTTAACAGTTTTGTAATCTTCATATCCGATAAATTTATTTATATATTTTTAAAATCTTAACTTGTGAATTTCTTTAAAAAAGAAAGCAGTTAAGTTGTTCTAGCTTATTTTTCCTAGAACTGATTTTATATTTCAGACATTTATTATAAATTTTAATTTCCGATAAAATTAATTATCTGTTTTTAGCTCAGAAATATTTCTAATAAAATTAGTAACTTTACACGGGAAAAGAAGATTAAATGATTATCTACCGGATTCTCATATTATAAATATGTTTACTTCAAAGTATTTTTATTAGTAAAGTTATATATCGGGTTGGTGTTATTTAAAAATATGAGTTAACGGTTTTTACCATGTTTGGTTTTTATCAATTATTGTGCTCAAAAATGTTAATATCAATTTAAAAAAATTTTCAGTGATAGAAGACGTGTTTTTAATACAGAAGAAATAAAAATACCGTATTTCATAATTTTGTCATTTATCGGGTTTTCGCTCGAACCCCTCGTTATTATAATAAAACATTACAATGAGATTTTGGATTGTAACTGTTACGTTTTGAAAAGCGTTTTTATGCAACGAATATTTTTTGGTATATAATATGTAGGATAATATTAGTTCTTTACATTTTTATTGTCCTTTTAATAAATAATAAATTAATCTTGGTAGTTTGCCTGTTACAAAACTTATTGACACAAAATACACTTTGAGTTCGGTAGGTAATTGAAGTATAAAATTACAGTAGATAGATTCCACTGTTCCCTGTGCCAATACCATCGAGCAATAAGACAAAAGAGGGAATCTAATCCTTATGAAAAGGAGACCAAAAAAGTGGCCTCTGATGGCGGACATATCCGGAAATGCGAATGCGCGAAATTTAAATTTTCCGACACTTATCAACAGTAGCTATATAATAGTATTCAGAATGTGTCTTAGACGAGCAAGTTTTAATTAATTATTAATGATAAGAGTCTAAAATGCGACACAATTATTAAAAAACTTCAATATAAATAAGATTTCATGTGACATTTGGGACAAACAATAACATTACCCAACTAAATTTGATGTCAAACAAGGAGAGAGGCTCTCTTTCCTTGTTTAAAGTGGCCTCTAAAGATCGCACTTCCTGTCTAACAATATGTTTGCCCCCACTACCTTTACATTCCCTCTATTGTCTTTTTGCTCGATGGCCAATACCCTAGTTTTAAAGACCCTTCAAACATTTTGGATAATAACTCAAGCCTCTCTCTGCTTATTCAATTTCTTAGATTCAGTTTTTTCTTGGTAATGATGAAAATAATACCTATCTAAAAATTTTATACATTTTTGAACGTTATTTTTTTATTTAGATTTAGTGCAATTCCGTTATCTGTAATGGCAACAACTAATTGATTTCTGAACACAGGTTTACATTGGGAAAAAAAAGTGTACCAGTTTTATATGACGGGAAGTGTACATATATTTTTTTTAATTAATTTGTTGTTAATATGCCACCTTTTTATTACTCTCGGCTGGGATTGGTTACTTTTTAATTTCATAATTGGTGTTTTTGGTTGTGTCATTTATTAGTTATGTAAGTATATCTAATTTTAATTTTGTATGATAGCTGCGTTGTTGTGGTTATGCTGTATTTTGTTTTGTATGAGAGCTCCTTTTACATGCAGATTAATTTTTTATATTATCACTACATTAATAACTATTCTTTATCCGGTTAATTTATTAATAAGCATGAAATTCCCTCTATGTGCCACTAGTTAATCCGTGAGTATTATAGGTTTTAGTTGTTATTATTTTCGTCTTTCTTTATTAACAACTTTCGCGATCAGCAAGGCTCATTTTACTCTATCTGCAGCAGTTCTGAAGAGTTCTTCTGTTGTTTTTCCGTTCCACTGTTTTATATTTTTTAAACAAGACGTGCGTCCTTAGTCTAATCAGTCGCATCAATTAATATTTTTCATTTCTTATTACGTGACCAAAGTAGAGAATTTTCTTTATCTTTATACTGTTGAGCATTTCTTTTACTTTTTTCATCTTTCTTAATGTTGCAGTGTTTGTTAAGAGTTGTGTCCATGATACCAGGCGTGTTTTTTTAAGTAAGTACCGTTTGGGAATTAAAAAAAGACGTGCAAAGATAAGGCAAAAATTTTAATTTTACATGAAAGCCTGTACCTTAATCTACTTTTCTACATAATTTCGGTAAATATTGAGGCACTTGTCATAACGTGGCACCAGTTTTTGAATACCCTCCTGATAAAATTCTGCCGCCTGACTTGTTAACCACTGCATCACTAATGTTTTGACTTCGTTATCGTCTTGAAGACGCTGACCGCCCAGGTGTTTCTTCAAGAGTAGGACCAAATGGGAGTCGCTGGGCGCCAGATCAGGGCTATATGGAGAATGATCTAGAGTTTCCCATTTAAATGATTTAATGAGATCTTTGGTCTGATAAGCCACATGTGGACGAGCATTGTCATGCAGCAAAACGATACCCTTACTCAACTTGCCACGTCTTTTGTTCTGGATTGCACGACGCAGCTTTTTCAATGTCTCACAATAAGATGCTGCATTGATTGTTTCATTACGAGGCAGAAACTCTACTAGCAATACTCCTTTTCTGACCCAAAAAACTGTGCACATGATTTTCTGGGCAGAAATTGTTTGCTTAAATTTTACTCTTTTGGGTGATAATGAATGTCGCCATTACATGGATTGTTTTTTCGATTATGTTCTGACGTATGCCACCCACTTTTCATCACCAGTAATAATTTGGTCCTAAAAATCTTCACCTTCGCTGTGGTACCGCTCAAGAAAAGTCAATGCACTGCCTAAACGTTGGGTTTTGTGCAAATCCGTCAACATTTTTACATGTAACAATGCGATACAAAACACTACGACAATACTGAGGAAAGCAGTCGGATAATGATGAAATTGTAAAGCGTCTGTTTTCTCCCACCTTTTCGTCCACTTTCTGCACCAAATTTTCATTAACGACCGAAGGACGCCCACTCCGTTCTTCATCATGCACATTTGTGCGGTCATCTTTAAATGCTCTTACCTATTTCCTTACCATTCCATGACTCATAATGTTTTGTCCGTAAACTTCAACGATCTCACAATGAATATCGATTGGTTTTACTTTTTTAGCACTAAGAAATTGTATAACAGCCCGTACTTCACAATCAGCGTGACTCACTATTGTTGGAGGTATCTTAAACACTGGAGTAAACAAGTATACAATGAAGAATCAGACTGTAATGGCGTCAGTGCCTAGACAAGAGATGTAGGTAACCAGCGCTCATGCGCGGAACGCCGACCGTAGCGCTGCGGCGGCGGAACCGCAAAACGGTACTTACTTAAAAAACATGCCTCGTATTTTCCACATTCTTCGATAACACAATATTTCAAAGCTAGCATGTGTTTTTGTTAGCCGCCTCCGGAATTGTGTAGGCTTTAACTTAATATAAAAGAGAAAAGAATACGTATTATATCAATACTCTAGTTCGAATTTCTATTTCCAATTTTCCATTGCATAATACTGCTTTAAACTTATTGAAAGTACTTTTGGTCATCCCAATTCGTCATTTTATTTCAATGCTGCTGTTCCATTGTTTATGTAGCTCAGATCTCAAGTAATTTTATCTTAATACTTTCTCTAAATCTTTTTCTTTAACGTAAATTGTTCCGTCTTTAATCTTGTTCTTACCGAGAAACATGATTTTTGTTTTTTCTGTGTTCAGAGCCATTCCACCGTTCGCAGTACTACGTAGTGCGATAAATCAAAATTTGCAGCCTTTCTCTGTCGTCCGCCAGGAGTATTGTATCGTATGCCTATCTGAGATTATTCATTAGTGTTACTTTAATTGATATGTTTTCATTGATGTCTTCTAGTTTCTATTTCTTGTGTTTTTCATTTTTTTATGTAATGTATCACCCTCCAGTTGGTGCTCTCTCAGAATCTTTTCTAACTTTTCCATTTTTCTGTGGCGTCAAATTATCCTTGTCTTTCTACGTTCCAAACTTCATTATATATTTGTTCTTTAAGCTATTGGCAGGGATTAGCTTCTTTTGGCCTTCTTATAGGTGTTTTGGAGATGTTTTTATTTTTTGTTTGTTTGAGTGTCATGTCTGCTAAAACAAGGTTGTAGTCATTGGCTACTGGGTAAGCTTTATACCAATACTAGGGCGTTACGGAATCTTTGGTTTATAGTGATGTAGACAACCTGGTTTCTTATTATGCTCTCACAATTATATATAGGGGATTTCCAGGTGTATATTTGTGGGCATTTCCAGAATATTCCAATATAAAAGAGATCAAACAACATCATATATACATATTTATACATAATACATATGCAACACACAATACAAATCTAAAACGGTCAGAGTTTGATATTCCCGGGTAAACACCGCCGTCAGTTTTTGTCATCCATTTATCCGTACATGCTGCTTGCTGCATACAAAATGATAGTCAAATGTGTCAACTTTAAAATTACATAACCTAATAAAACATAATTTTTTCAGAATGTTCACAATAATCTTTTTGAGAACGATTTCTGAAGTAACAATCGACACATCAAAGACTAGTTAGTTAAAAATGTGATTTTTATTACAACCTCTCATTATTACAACCCTAAATGTCTCTCATAAGCTTTAAATGTCCTGATTATATCATTTACAATTTTATTTGCATCTTATATAGTGTGTCTTATGTAGTGTGGCCTATTTGGCATACGTAGTAAGGGGAGACCGATATAATATTCTTCAACTTATTATGATGGGTAAAATCGAAGGACGCAGAGGAATTGGTAGAAAGTAGGCCTCTTGGTTGAAGAATATCAGGGAATGGACAGGAATAAGGAAAGCTGAGCAACTCTTTAGAATAGCTCGAGACAAAGACTTTTTCGCCATGTTAATCGCTAACGTCAAGGGGACTTGATAGGCCACGTTAAGAAGAAGTAGTGTGTCAACCAGTTATTGTCTATATTTTGCTTATTAAAGTTCATGGAATATTTCTATCTATCCAATTACCCTTCTTTGGTCCATCTTTGAACATAGGCCTCCCCAATCCCTATCCATTCTTCTCTGTCTGTCGCTACAGTCATCCACCTAGAGCCCACGTACTTCTTGAAATCGTCTTCCCATCGCATTTGGGGCCTTCCTCTGCTTCGTTTATATTCCCACGGTCTCCAACTTATAAGAATTTTGTTCCATCGTTCTTCTTTTTGTCTTATATTGTGTCCGGCAAATCTCCATTTCAATTTTCCAACTTCTTGTCTAACCTCCCTCAGTTTTGTTTTCTCTCTTATCCACTCGTTTCTCATTTTAGCCATTAGTCTTATGTGCAACATTTGTCTTTCCATTGCTCTTTGGGTTTTTATGATTTTGTCTATGAAAAACAGGGAGTACGCATTCATTGTATACTTTGGTCTTAAGATGCTGTGGATATCTTTTGTTTTTAAGAATGTAGCTTAGTTTGCTAAATGTTGCTCATGCCAGTTTTACTCGTTTTTTTATCTCTACTGTTTGGTTTTCTTTGTTAAGTTATATAGTTTGACCCATATATATATATATATATATATATATATATATATATATATATATATATATAATCCTGAACTTGTTATATTTCATCATTTCATCTTGTCCGATTCTCATTGTTATGTCTTCATCTGTATTTGTTATGGTTTTGGTCTTGCTGTAATTCATATTAAGGCCTATCTTTCCAGTTTCTACGTCCAGTTTCTTCATCATTTCAAATAATTCTTCTTTTTTATTGGTTATCAATACGATGTCATCAGCGTACCATAGATGGTTCAAGCGTTGTCTACAAATTTGTATACCTTTTTCTTCCAACTCTAATCTTTTAAAAATATCTTCCAGAGCCTAATTAAAAAGTTTCGATGATATTGTGTCACCCTGTCTCAGGTATATTTACAATACGATATTTATCAAACTTAATTTCTAAAGTAGAATTAACTCGTAAGAGTTCGTAATGTCAATGCAATATTCAGAAACAAAAGTTCTTAAAAACAAAAATAAATCAATACCAAATTTGTACAACCCTATGGAGATATTAAAACCTATTACTAATTGAAATATTTTACAGGTCCGTGGAACAACTAAGTTCCCCAATGGAACCAGAACCAATAACAGTAGGTAGACGAAATAAGCAATCTGTAAGACCTTCTAGTGGGCGTGGAGGAACATGGGGTAGCATATCTAGAGTTTTTGCTCGGTCGCGTCATCGGAATAAATCAAATTCTCTACAAGAAACAAGTACGTTCCTGAACAAATTAATTATCAATTAAAACTATCGTTTAATAGTATTTTGAGTAAGCTATGGATACCAGAATAAAATATATCTTTTGTTTACTGTAGGTGAAACTTATGATCCATATCGTAGTTGGTCTCCTTTAACTGAAGAAGGGTATGCAGAGAAACTAAGACTACTTAGAGAAGCCAACAGCATACCTATGGAAAGATGGAGAGCATCAACAGTGTTAGCGTGGTTGGAAATTGCATTAGGAATGTCGCAGTATGGAGTACGTTGCGCAGAAAATATAAAAAGTGGGAAGGTATTATGACTGTATTTTATGTGCATGAATACTTACTACAATTTAATGAATAAGTACCAACCAACACTAAAGTAAACTAAAGTTGAATCCTAAATTAAATAAAAACTTTAAATTATAGAAAACTGACTTACAGCTAATTTCTATTGTAATGTTACAGCTATTTTAAAGATTATACAATTATTATGATGAGAACTAGGCATAAAATAAAACATAAAGACAAAATTGTGTTTGAAGATCGACAATGTGATCAACAGAGACTAATCAATAAATATGCAAATTTCTGTTGGTTTGCTCTTAAAAAAGTATAGGAAATTTATGTTTTACACCCCTTTTCTTCTAATTATCTGTCAGCTGTTGTAATAGTTTATTAAAATTCATATTCAGTTAGTTCTATAAGTTTATTTACTTCTTTTTCTTTAGGTGCCATCTCCGCTACGAAGGTTGGCAATCATCATAGCTATTAAAAAGCTCATAGAACATCATAGCTAATGTTCGAGATACTGTAGCTTTCTTGCTTTAATTGTAAGTTCAACTTCGTTCTATTTACCTATTATTCTCGGTACTTCATTGTTTCCTACCCAGGAAACCCTCATAATTCTTCTATAGGTCCACATTTCAAAGGCGTTAAGTCGTCTCATTGTGTCTAGATTTAACGCCAATGATTCTACTCCATAGTATAGTACACTGCATATGTAACATTTTGTTGGGCGTAGTTTAAGAGCTAATGGTAAATCTTTGCCACATAGGACCTTTTTCATTTTCATAAAATTAGAACGTGATTTTTCGATTCTGACTTTGATTTCTGCAGTGTAGTCATTATTTTCTGTTATAAGTGTTTCTAGGAAAGTATACTTTTTTTAATATTTCCATATTCTGGCCCTCTACTATTAAGATTTCGTTAGTATTATGGTTGTTGTTACAAATTTTTATAACCTTCGTCTTTTTGATATTGAGAGTCCGTAGAGAGAGTTTATTTACTGGGAACGTGTAATATCTTTCTTTTTATCATTCGCCAGTTATTTATTCGTTATAAAGTTTTTAAACGTCTTTCAATTTAAGGTTTAAGAAATTATCTGGGGTACGATCTAATAATTTCAGTCAAAAGTGGTGATTTTGTCCAGCTGTTGCATTCCGTACATGTATTGACCTCTATATTTATTAAGAGCACAACAAAAATGCCCTGGCTGTAAACGTTTGATTTTTTTACGTCTTTATGGAGGGATAGTCTGAAATAAAAAAGATGTCTGGAAAGAAAAAGATGTCAAAAGACATCTCAGTCTAGATCGCGGCCTAACTGATCTTAGTACAGGATTCAGTAAGAGGTACTTTAAGACGCCCTCTCGTCTTCGAGTACACGCCAAACGTATATCTGCTAAATCTGCCCTTTCTCTGTCATCCAGCTATACGACCGGCATCACTTCCTAAGTACTAAATTTATTTATCCACAGACTGTCAGCAAGGACGCTTCCTGTCCTTTTTCCCTGTGTCCCCTTTTTTGATTCCTTAATCTTGGAACCTCGTTCTAGATAATGCATAAAAGACCCTCATCGCTCCTAGTACGGCATTACTCTCAGTCGGGCATTTTCTCCTTCCCGAAAGTTGGACTGACGTTGATATAGTTGTGTACACTAGGCCAACCTGCTTTATTTTCAATTATTATCTCAATAATTTCCTTCATTGTAACAAAGTAACAAAATCAATTGGGACATTGTTGGAGTTGCTGAGGTCAGAAGGAAAGCAGAAAGCCTAACCACGTTAAAATCCGGTCACATTTTCTATCATGTCGAAGAAAACGATGGGAATGGAGGCATTGGGCTCTTTATTAATAAAAAAAACTAGCTGAGAATAGCATATCAGTAAAAGCAGTTTCCACAAGAGTTATACTTGCAAAATTACAACTAAACACCTGTTGCTCCATAAAGATCATTCAAGTCTATGCACCAACATCATGTCACGCTGACGAAGAAATAGAACAGTTCTATGATGACTTGTGCACAGCTGTTTCAGAAGACCAAGAACATTTTACGGTAATATGTGGCGACTTTAATGTCAAAATAGGAATAAGCACTGATCTAGCTAAAAATGACCTCGGAAATTTTGGCACACCAGGTAGAAACGAAAGGGGCGAAATACTCTTAAATTTCCTATTAGAAAACAATCTGTATTTAATGAATAGCTTCTTCTATAAGAAGATTCATAAAAGATGGACTTGGAAAAGCCCCGATGGTAAGACAAAAAATGAGATCGACTTCATCATCACTGACAAAAAACATATAGTCAAAGATGTTACAGTCTTAAATCAATTTTCGGCTGCAAGCGATCATAGAATGGTTCGAGCAACTGTAGAAATCAATATTAAGCAAGAAAGACTGAAGATGATAAAAAGTAAAAAATTCAAACCTTGGATGCGCCCAACGAATGAACTTGACTTTGAAAAATATATCACCAGTAACTTACTCAGAAATACAACAAGAGAAGACGTAAATAACCTAAACGAAAAAATAGTAGATATATTAACACAAGCTCAGGAAAAATTTGGCTCCAAACATGGAAAAGAACAAACAATTAGTAAAGAAACGAAACAAAAAATGGAAGATCGTAGAATGCTGAGAAGTCAAGGAAATGTTGACTCACAAGATATAAACAGCATCAATAAAGAAATCTCTAAAGCCATCAGACGGGATATTAGAAAATACAACAACGAAAAAATTATAAAAACTATAGAAGACAACAAAAGCATGAAAGCATTGAGGAGAAAAATGGAAAATGGCAAAAAAGAAATCTTCTAACTGAAAGACAAAAATGGAGATATTATCTCAGATAGACCAAGCATATTACATATACTTAGTGGACAGTTTCTATGAAACATTATATAAAAGTCAAGTTATTTCAGAGCTCATCGAACAACCAATACAAAAGGTACATAATGTAGAATCGGAGGATATACCAGATATATCACGAGAGAAAATTCAACATGCCCTCAAAAATGGAAAAATAATAGAGCTCCGGGGGAAGATGGTGTAGTCATTGAGATAATTAAACTAGGAGGTCCACTTTTGATGTCCCGAATCCAAACACTTTTTAATCTATGTCTGCATAGTCAAAACATTCCAGGTAAATGGAAGAATTTGGTTACAATCCTCCTCCACAAAAAAGGGGATAAATCAGATCTCGAAAACTATAGGCAAATTAGTTTGCTTAACCACCTATATAAGCTCTTTACTCAAATACTGACAAACAGATTAGAAACAAAACTCCATTTCTATCAATCAGAAGAACAGGCAGGATTTCAAACGGGACACGGAACAAACGACCATCTGCAATGCCTTAAAACTCCAGTTGAAAAGACTATCGAATATAACAGAACCCCTGCTCTTATCTTTGTCGACTTCTACAAAGCATTTGACTCAGTCGAAACAGTTGCTATCTTAAAAACACTATCAGAATGCAGAATAGATCACAGGTATGCAAATAATATTCGAAATATATACGAAAATGCGACAACTACCGTTAACCTCCATTGCAAGACTGAGAAGATAAAAATTGGCAGAGGGGTGCGGCAGGGAAATACCTTGTCGCCAAAAATATTTATAACAGTTACGGAGTACGCATTTAAATGGTTAGAGTGGGAATCAAAGGGTATTAGCATCGATGGAAAGATATTCAATCATCTCAGATATGCCGATGATATTGTTCTCATAACAGACAACTTAGGAGAAGCCAGAGTTATGCTACAACAACTGCAGCAAGTAACCCAGAAAGTCGGTTTAAAAATAAACTATGAAAAATTAAAAATTATGACCCATCTCGTCCCCAATGAGCTAATAGAAATCGAAAAGTCGCCCATAGAACTTGTGGAAAAATATGTGTATTTGGGTCACGAAATAAGGTTAACGCGAGATAACCAAACACGCGAGCTACTCAGAAGAATAAGTCTGGGTTGGGCTGCATTCGGAAAAATGAGAGACGTATTTAAAACAAATATACCGATCCATTTAAAAAGAAAAGCTTTTAACCAGTGCGTTCTACCAGTCCTCACATACGGAGTAGAAACCTTAACTCTCACAAAAACATCAGCCGAAAAATTGAGAATGACACAACGAAAGATGAAGAGATCAATGCTTAGAATAAGCTTAAGAAATAGAATAAGAAACGAGGAAGTTCGTAGACGAACCGGAGTGGAAGACATTATCGAACATATTACAAGGCAAAAATGGAGATGGGCAGGACATTTTGCAAGAATGAAAGACGACAGTTAGACAAAAAAATTGCTTGAGTAAAGACCACGGGCTGACAAGCAAAGCCGAGGAAGACCCCCCAACGCGATGTACCGGCGACCTCAAAAGAATCGTGACCAATTGGATAGCAGAGGCGCAGAACAGACGCAGATGGAAAAGTCTAGAGGAGGCCTATGTTCAACAATGGACAACTCAGGGCTGATTGATGATGATGATGATGAACACAGTTTAGACCTGTCTCTCTTTTTAATCTGTTCCTTTATACTATCTATCTCTTGCACTGTAACATCGTATGTGTCACAGTGTATCCACAGTATAGGCATTTATCTGTGTCAGCTTTTCCGAACCTAGAGAAGTAAGCCCTAAAACATTCGTGTCCTCTGAGCACTCTAGTCGCCTCTAACCACAGTCCACCCAATCTGTGTTTTGCCATTCTTCTTGCCATATTTCAATTGACCTTTTCCTTTCCAGGCTTCTCTCGACCATATAACATCTAGTTCTCTTCTTACATATAGTTTTTTTCTTTTTACTGCCAATACATGCAGCAGCACACCTTCAGTAACGATTCACAATGCTGCCGCAGATACAATACTGTAGACGCATACCATTCGCAACAGAATTTGTCTGTCCATTCCTGTCATGAGCTTGCTGTAGGCCAATATCTCCACCGCCCTAGGCTAGACTGGTGCCGTATAGAGGACTACACGACTACACATCGATCACCAAGTAAGACCCTCCTCCCTTTAAATTAGGTTCCACGAA